TATTTCACAGTCAGTAATACAATGCGCGTTCAATCATATCCCATGTACCAGTAATGTCTGCTTCCATAGAAACGACATTAAACCTTTTTGTAAATATTTTCATCTCTTTAATTCAAACTAGCAGTTGTCAACTTCCTCGTAATATGCTGTACTGGCTTTGACTTTCGTGTTTTATATACGCAATCTTCTGAATTATGAATGACTCTTTTTAGAATCCCAATACTTATATCTTAGAAAGGTGATTGGACGTGTTGGAAATCAACTTCTCCAGTCCGACAGTAAGGCTCAAACAAAATAGAGTTTGGATGTGTGGGATGTATAAATACACAGACACGTTCAATCGGATAGGGGACGTTAAATCCAATGTGTCGAGAGTGCCAAGCTATCTGCACGTTTAGGAACCCCTGGAACAACTATTTGAATAGTCTAGATAGCCAGTTGAGAGTAAACATTCTGCCCTATCCAACATACCCATTTCGCAGTAGCCGTATAGAATTTCAATCCTTCGTGCCGGTCGACCCAGTTTGCAAAACCTGCATACTGGACTAATTGTTAAAATGTTCTTGTCTTCAAAATGCCTGAATTATTTGCCAGTGGACGTTAAACTACCATTAATCAATTAATCAATCAATAGGGCGCAAAAGATCACACATGAGGTCGTGAAACTTTAGTAAAGATTTAAGATTTTTACTGAAATAATCCCTGGTAATTTTGGTCGTACCATTAGATCTAATTGAAGTGACCTTTTTATATCTAAATTAAACTGTTTTGTATGTGACGTTTAGACTTATGTCAAGACTTGAGTCAAATTTTGTCATGTTCAATCAGAATCCTACATATAAATGTAGGGTGTATTTTAAAATACGATAACGTTAACCTGTGTCTGCTGACATCATGTTGAGACAGTAACCGGGACAGGGTCATGAAGTGAGAGAAACGACTACAGGGTTACGTTTACTATATAAGCATATCATGAATGCTTGTTTCATGTTGTCAAATATAAAAAAGAAGATGTGGTATGATTGCCAATGAGACAACTCTCCACAAGAGACCAAATGACACAGAAATAATTAACAACGATAGGTCACCGTACGGCCTTCAACAATGACCAAAGCCCATACCGCACAGTCAGCTATAAAAGGCCCCAAAATGACAATGTAAAACAATTCAAACGAGAAAACTAACGGCCTAATTTATGTACAAAAAAAATGAACGAATAACAAATATGTAACACATAAACAAACGACAACCACTGAATTACAGGCTCCTGACTTGGGACAGGCACATACATACAGAATGTGGCGGGGTTAAACATGTTAGCGGGATCCCAACCCCCCTAACCTGGGACAGTGGTGTAACAGTACAACATAAGAACGAACTATAAAAATCAGTTAAAAGAGGCTTAACTCAGTTATCGACATTGTTTTGCTGTCCGTTTCTAGATTTATTGTAATTTACTCTGTTTTGTCGTTTTAATAGCTGTGTGTTTTATTAAGGAAACTTAAACAACTTGTTATACGGTAGTCTTTAGACAGATTTCCTGGCGTCTTTAGAACAGATTTCCTGGCGTCTTTAGAATAGTTTCTAACATGATCTGTTCTACCCTTTAACAGTTTCTGACACAATCTGTTCTACTCAAAAACAGTTTCTGACATAATCTGTTCTACCCAAAAAAAGTTTCTAACATAATCTGTTCTACCCTATAACAGTTTCTGACATAATCTGTTCTACCATTTAACAGTTTCTAACATTATTTGTTCTACCCTCCATAACAGTTTCTAACATTATCTGTTCTACCCTATAACAGTTTCTAACATAATCTGTTCTACCCATAACAGTTTTTGGCATAATCTGTTCTACCCTTTAACAGTTTTTAACATTATCTGTTCTACCAATAACAGTTTCTGACATAATCTGTTCTACCCTATAACAGTTTCTGACATAATCTGTTTTACCCCATAACAGTTTCTGACATAATATGTTCTACCCTATAACAGTTTCTGACATAATCTGTTATACCCTTTAACAGTTTCTGACATAATCTGTTCTACCATTTAACAGTTTCTGACATAATCTGTTCTACCATTTAACAGTTTCTGACATAATCTACTCTACCCCATTACAGTTTCTGACATAATATGTTCTACCCTTTAACAGTTTCTGACATAATCTGTTCTACCCCCATAACAGTTTATAACATTCTCTGCTCTACCCTATAACAGTTTCTGATATAAACTGTTCTACCCTATAACAGTTTCTGACACAATCTGTTCTATCCTATAACAGTTTCTGACATAATCTGTTCTACCATTTGACAGTTTCTAACATTATCTGTTCTACCCTATAACAGTTTCTAACATAATCTGTTTACCCTATAACAGTTTCTAACATTATCTGTTCTACCCATAACGGTTTCTGACATAATCCGTTCTACTATATAACAGTTTCTGACACAATCTGTTCTACCCTAGATAAGTTTCGAGCACAATCTGTTCTACCCTATAACAGTTTTTGACATAATTTGTTCTACCCTATAACAGTTTCTGACATAATCTGTTCTATCCCGTAACAGTTTCTGACATAATATGTTCTACCCTATAATAGTTTCTGACATAATCTGTTCTACCCTTTAACAGTTTCTGACATTATCTGTTCTACCCCATAAATTTTTCTGACATAATCTGTTCTACCCTTTAACAGTTTCTGACATAATCTGTTTTACCCCATAACAGTTTCTGACATAATATGTTCTACCCTATAACAGTTTCTGACATAATCTGTTATACCCTTTAACAGTTTCTGACATAATCTGTTTTACCCCATAACAGTTTCTGACATAATATGTTCTACCCTATAACAGTTTCTGACATAATCTGTTATACCCTTTAACAGTTTCTGACATAATCTGTTCTACCCCATAACAGTTTCTGACATAACCTGTTCTACCCTATAACAGTTTCTGACATAATCTGTTCTACCATTTAACAGTTTCTGACATAATTTACTCTACCCCATTACAGTTTCTGACATAATATGTTCTACCCTTTAACAGTTACTGACATAATCTGTTCTACCCTAAAACAGTTTCTGACATAATCTGTTCTAACTTCTATCCTATAACAGTTTCTGACATAATCTTTTCTACCTTATAACAGTTTCTGACACAATCTGTTCAATCCTATAACAGTTTCTGACATAATCTGTTCTACTATTTGACAGTTTTTAACATTATCTGTTCTACCCTTTAACAGTTTCCAATATTATCTGTTCTACCCATAACAGTTTTTGACATAATCTATTCTACTCTATAACAGTTTCTGACATAATCTGTTCTATCCCGTAACAGTTTCTGACATTAAATGTTCTACCCTATAATAGTTTCTGACATAATCTGTTCTACCCTATAACAGTTTTTGACACAATCTGTTCTACCCTAGAAAAGTTTCGAGCACAATCTGTTCCACCCTATAACAGTTTTTGACATAATTTGTTCTACCCTAGAACAGTTTTTGACATTATCTGTTCTACCCTATAACAGTTTCTGACATAATCTGTTCTACCCAATAACAGTTTCTTACATAATCTGTTCTACCCTATAACAGTTTCTGACATAATCTTTTCTTCCCCATAACAGATTCTGACATAATCTGTTCTACCCTATAACAGTTTCTGACATAATCTGTTCTTCCCCACTACAGTTTCTGACATAATCTGTTCTACCCTTGAACAGTTTCTGGCATAATCTGTTTTACCCTTTAACAGTTTCTGACATAATCTGTTCTTCCCCATAACAGTTACTGACATAATATGTTCTACCCTATAACAGTTTCTGGCATAATCTGTTCTTCCCCATAACAGTTTCTGACATAATCTGTTCTACCCTAGAACAGTTTCTGACATAATCTGTTTTACCCTTTAACAGTTTCTGACATAATCTGTTCTTCCCCATAACAGTTTCTGACATAATCTGTTCTACCCTAGAACAGTTTCTGACATAATCTGTTCTACCCTAGAACAGTTTCTGACATTCTCTGTTCTACCCTATAACAGTTTCTGACATTATCTGTTATACCCTAGAACAGTTTCTGACATTATCTGTTATACCCTAGAACAGTTTCTGACATAATCTGTTCTTCCCTATAACAGGTTTCTGACATAATCAAGTCCTAGAACAGATTCGGAATTTCTAATCTAGTAAAGGTTTACTAGTTTACTAGTAAGAGTAAAAAGGAATGACTTTATTCTTTTTAATGAGTTTTCCGTTCTAATAGCAACATTCAAGCAGCACCTACATATGGACTTTATATCTCAAGTTTGATGCAAAAGTCATGTGTTAGTGTTTGACTTCCTTGGTCAAATGGTTACTGCTTATAATGAATATATTGACCGGAGGTTTATTTATGGTCAACATGAAGTCATCTCTTTGAAAGTATTCCGGACACCAATATGATTTGCTGACCGTTACGGAATATTTGTTTCAAGTACGACCATGTATATGTTTCATTTTTCGAAGCTAGAAATCGATCAATCTGTGACCGTTCTGATCACCTGTTTTTAACGCATCATGTATAGCACGACGGTTACTACTTAAAGAGCTAAAGAGCAGGAACTAGTAACTGATACATAGCACCTACGAGATCTCCAGATGTTTGCTGTGGCTCTAATTTATTGCTTTGTGGACTGTTGTTTATCATGTTTTTTTTAATCCGTTTGGTCTTGGTGTTCTTTGTCTTTCTAGAACTAATGATTTTCGGTTAATCTCTTGGTATCGTCATACTTATTTTTCTTTTTAAATCAATGCAAAGTGCGTGATTAACTTATGTTTTTATCTTGTGTTCTATAAACCTATATACGTTATGTACTAAATAGCGAACACTTATACAATTGATTTGAATAAAGTTTACAAGTACTGATTTATTACATGTGACCACAATATGCATATGTATATAAACATATAAATGAATGTATCTTGCTGATAAACACACCTTTGTATACTAACATAGATCATGCTCTTCCTCGTTGTTTTACAATGATTGTCGGTCCTCGTCTATAATAATTGCAAAGCGATAACATTTTACTTCTAGCATCATGTATGAAGAACCAACTAGGAATCGCCCTTCGTCATTCCGGAAGGCCATCAACAACAGTCCATTGAACGACCAAAGCGTGAATAAGTCTCCCCTTAATGTGAAACCAACTTCACCATTAAGCATGTACAACCATCCGGACGATTACGGGTTATACGATTTGCCGAACACTCATCACAATTTTCCGAAAGTTATTAAACCAGAGGACTTGATACCAAAGTCTCACGTTAAACGTAACCATAGCACCGATTCAACGAGCTCTGATGTAAGTTTGTTGTCATCAAGTTCTACAGCATCATCACCTACATCACGAATTTTGTTGGTTGTCGTTTTAACGTTGACAATACTCTTTTTGGCATCATTTGTGTACCTACTGCTGAAAATGAAGTCCATTGAAGACGGATTAAAGAAAGAAAGACACAAAATGGACAACATTCTGACTGTTTTTTGTGTCCCATGTGACGATGTCAGACTTGGACCTTTTGAAGAGGACAACGAAAATTTACTGTTGCTTGATAAGAAGACTGTCAACAGAGTTGAAATTTGTTGTGCAAAAACACCAAATCAAACTATTGTTTTGACCAATCTTGTAAGTATTTTCTTCTTTATATTACCTGTACTTAATCATACAGAAGATAAGTCACTTATTGTCAAACAAGTTTACTTTTCCATGTTTTTCTAATATGAAATAACATGGAGTTATTCCGGACCATATGAGTATTTGGACTATACGCGTATGGTCGGACCATATGAGTATATACTCATTTAGTTATTAACGGGCCGGACCATATGAGTATTTTGACCATATAAGTATTTTTTTTTCCAATATGCAAACTTTAACCAATAATTGATGCCCATTTATCCTTTTTGTTTAGCAAGTAAGATACAATACAAGTATTTCAGTAAATAAAATATAAAAAAAAATTGATGCGACGGCTGCAAGTAAAAACAAAACAAATCGAAGACGTTTTGATATATTGCAATGAAATTTCACAATTGTATAAGAAAATAAATAAGCAAAGATAAACTTTCTATTTTTTTAACCAGGTATGCATAGCTTTGTTCACCAGACCCAAACATTACACGTTACTGACTGATTTGTTTCTGTGACATATTGTCTGAATCTGGGTTAGATCCGTCGGTAGTCATGATAGTGTCAATCAAAAGCGTCCGTTAATATATAGGGTTTGACTTTTTGTTTAATGTTGTATTTCTTGAATCTGTCTTCTAAATTCATTCGTCAGGACAAATCGACCATAGATGTATATGTTCAGTATACTTTTAACTTGTAAATTGAATTCACTGGGTTATCCATCGTCACTTTATTCAAGTAATCATGAAAATACTTATTCAGGTCTCATGTCGCGCATAATCATGATTAAAAAAACTCAAAATTTTTAAATATTTATATTTTTTTATAAATTCTTCCAAAATTTTAAATCAATAAATTTTTATAAAGTCTGTTTTTTTTATGTCAAATCGAAGGTTCATACCTTATGTAGTTTATATTATAGTATTAATTAAACCAATGATTCGTACAGAAAGTCTAAGTCTAACTATGTACATGCTTGATTTAACATTTTAATCGTCGTCGTGTTAATCACCCGAACCATGTATATACTCATATGGTCATGACCATACGCGTATGGTCCAAATACTCATATGATCAGGAACAGAGTGATCATGCTCCTTATCAACTATTGCTCAATTTCTTAAATGATTAAATCCATCACTCTATTAACATGTTATCTTTCCTAATATGTATTTGTCACCGGACCGTTTAAGCAGCAATTCATCAACAAATCATGTTGAAAATCATTCACAAGTTCTATGTGGAGTGATGCAAGCTTTCCATTTAGTTTTACGTTGATCTTCCCCATCTTCGAAGGCCGTTTAGGGACCTTTAAATGCCTATTATAATGTACAGGTACGTATATAAATATTCTTTGCGCGCTCATGACTAAATGCCGCATTTTGGTAAATATTGATAAAAAACGACTAAGCAGCTCAATTGACTAAAATAAAAATTGATACCTTGCAATGGGATCACATCTTCAAACGTTTTCTTTTATTTCAGATTGTAGAAAGAAATCGCCAAAAGCACAAAACAGAGGGTAAGTTTTTCACCAAAAAGTAATGGGTATCGAATATTAAAATGTACCGATAAAGAACTTAAGCCTAGTATATTAAAATCCGTCCTTATCTTGACTGAGGTCCGCAACCACAATTGTAGCTTACATGTTAATTTTTGTTGTGTTTATGTACCTCGTAACTCACTGAACTCCTCAAACAAAACCTTACAACTGTCCAGACTAGAAAAAATTATTCAGTTATGTCCCTTACCATGATGATTGTCAAAAGAAAAGTATCAAAGGGCTAAGCCATTTGAGTATAACTGACCATAATAAATGGTTATTTCCAAATTATTTTTGTCCAATTAGAATTCACCCCATATCCTGGTGGTTTGTGCATATTTACCCTTAATGATTAACCAGATATCGGCAACTGTAAGATTTTGGTCTATATATATTTTATAGGATATACAAATAAACATTTGTCCTTGTTTTAGTAACTCCTATTGTAATTGATAGATATACTTGAAATGGAACAACAAATTCAACAGAGGAATGCCTCCTTTCAACCATCTATTACGAAAGCACCCGTTGCAGCTCATTTACTTGTCGGGACTCAACAAGTTCCAAAGCAAGGTATTGTATTTTTGTGTATTTCACACACTACTAACTAAATATTCCAGTTACGTTTTAACAGAAGTTAATAGTCACAACCTTTCGAACTGAAAAACTAAATTATCATCAGTGAATCATTTGGTATACATACTTACAATTTACGTATTACCAGGCAGTAATGCATGTTCATTTACTTTAGGAATTTGTTGAGAATAGGGATGAATAATTCCGTGGTTTTGTCGTTTGAATTGTTTCACATTTTGTCATGCCGTTTTTGTTAATAGTAAACGTTACGAAAGGAGTTTTGCTTATTGCTTAAGGTCGTACGGTGACCTATAGTTGCTTGTATCCACATAATTTGGACTCTAGTGGATAGGTGTCTCATTCGCAATCCTACCACGTTTTCTTATTTTTATAATGAATTTTATTGTATATCTTGTAATACTCTTTATTTCTACTGAATGTTCGCTTCTAAGGTTTGAAATTACTTTTTGTTTTATATAACACCATGGATTTGCCTTTTAGATGAAGCACCATTTCCCATCACGAATTTGATGTCAACGGATCCTATTGCGCATGTCCAAGGTTTAAGAGTAACAAGGGACATGCTAAGTATAAACAATTCAGGACTGTACTTCGTCTACAGTCAGATCTACTTCAGCAATATCAACAGTCAAAGTTACAAACAGAATACTTCACAAGCTTTATACCATTATGTCTACAGATACAACGTTATATATCCAAATGGCGGGAGTGAACTATTGTTAAAGAGTGTGCGCACTCTTTGTTGGGCTAAGGATAAACTCTATACTGACTACACTAGTTATACTGCTGCTGCATTCCAACTAAATGCTGGCGATAAACTGTATGTCATGATATCTGATATTGCGATCCTATCTAGAGAATCAAAGGCCAGTTTCTTTGGTATTTTTAAGATTTCTTAACAAACAGTGACTACGTAAACATATTGTTTGTTTTAATACTAGAAAGGTCTCATACGTATCATCGAAAAGTGCTCACTTATAGGTTCCTTATGATTTGTACGCTTGTCCGTCGATGAAGGTCATACGATTGCCTAAAATTGTTCAGGGTTTTTGGCTATCGCATAAATCATAAAAAAGGTTAACAAGGAAACAAATTGGGTCGGTGCAACCACCAACACACAACTCCTCCAAATAGATCACAGCAACGACCAACACACAACTCCTCCAAATAGATCACAGCAACGACCAACACACAGTCCATTTATTTTTGTCTCTTAAGTGAAAATTCTTCTGATATATTTTGCATTTTTTTTTTATTTATGTGAACATAAAAGAGATGTAGCATGTGTGACAACCATTGAAACAGAAAACAAAGAAGAATGTAAGAAATGCAGACGACATTAAAAAGACAAATATACCTGCCACTGTAGAGAGAAACAGAATACAATTATGTATATGCATGTATCTACGCATATATAGAAGTCGATACGACACAACAAAAGAGAAAAAATCACATTAAATAGAATCAGACGGCCACTGTTTTGCCGTCAGAGATTATCATGAAAGACTATGCAACGAAACGATGAAACATAAACGGACAAAGATATCAAAATCATTATTATCATATGACTTGACAGAGAAAACTATTGACTAAATGACTGAAATAGTAACATTTATTTACCAAAAGAAATGTTACGAATTGGTTACCACGACATATTATACAAAAATACAAAAAGAAAGAAACCACTGCATGTAAAAAGTAAAACGCTTAAACTTGATACACAAAACAACAAAATCTGAGAGACAGAAACATAATATAGAGGAAAAAATCTTTTAACTTTAATCGTGTTGTGTTTCAAAGTTTTATAACTTCGTTGACCTTGTCTATTTCTTCGACAACGATAATTACACTTTATACATTTCATGCGTCCGAAGCGCTTTACTGGATTAACCTTCACCAGTATTGCTCAAACATTTCAAAGTCATGGGCTCTTTTGACAAAACAGTCTTACGACTAAGATTGATCGTAAGGTATACTGAAATCTTCATGAATTACAAGTATTTTTACTTACTCGTAAGATTTTTTTGTGAAATGAGTCGTAGGGATGCAAAAAAACGGTATTTGAGAAGTGACGAAACGATATAAAGCAAGTAAACACCTCTGTAAATAAAAAAAAAAAGAAAGAAAGAAAAAAAAAGAAAGAAAGAAAGAAAGAAAGAAAGAAAGAAAGAAAGAATCATCGTTATTTATATATGTTTCATATTATGTATAGTGTATAAAGATAACGCCTTAATGATTGATGTGATACATGTACAATCACTAGTTTGATACATATGAAACAAAATGTAGTACTTTGAATGGATAAGTATCAGAACCTAATTTTATATTAAATAAGCTAATTTTTGAATATCAATAAAATTGTAAATAAAATGAGAAATAATTTTACTTTATTCAAATCAAATTAATGAATGCAGTTCTTTTATTCATATTCGAAGGCAACTTGAATACTCGCTATACTCGCAAAACTTTCAAAACAAATAATTCGAAGAAATATACTCAAAACGGCTACTGAGATTGCGCAACGTTGTTGCATATGACTCCGAACGGCAAATATAATCCAATCAAAAACAGAGCTTCAAAACACCTAAAGTAAGGCTGCACATGCATAGCCCACGAAAGGTATTGTTTAACGTACTTACTCTACCGATATAGAAATTTGAAATTCTGAGAAAAACATGATTTTATGCAATTACAGATTTTATTAACCAGTTTTGTGCACTATGTATTAAACTGCCCCTTTATTAATAGAAGCGAGACTGGTCCATTACAGAATAACAGGGCATTAATACAGGGCCATTATGAATAAACAGGGCTATTATTGATAATCAGGGCCATTATGAAAAAACAGTGCCATTCTGAAAAAAACAGGGCCATTATGAATAATCAGGGCTATTACGGATTTCCAGTTGCTATCAATTCAAATACATTTCTGGGGAAAAGAAACATCAAGAAATTGAAAGTGCCGAAGAATCAATACTCATCTTATTTGACCCAGTTGTCAAGTTGATAATTACATAATACATTCCATGATGTGTATCAAACTATATAACTTTGAGTTTTAAAATCAAGAATGAAATCATAAATTGCTTTGAATAGGACAACAATAAAATTTGATTAACATTTACATGTTATTCCATCACATCACTTTAAAAGTTTCTATTTGATATTGCATTTTGTGTACTCATATCTATACTACTAAAGGAAGAGGCCGATTTCATTGAGCCGCAACTCCTCAGAAACCATACAAAGTCGGAAATATTTGTAATATGACGTATAAATGTAGTGTTTTGTACTTCCTAAATTTGTCTTTGAAACAATATTTTTTCCACAGAAAACGCCAATTTTTGAGAAAATATCCAAATTCGGAGACCGTTATCGATCCGTGAATTATACGCTTTTGCGCATGCTCAGTCGACGTTCTGCACATGCTACACCTGTTACATGTACATGTACCTTATCTGTACATTCTGCCTCTGTCAGTCGCACCACCAAACGGTGTATTTGGAATTAAAATTTTGCTATATACACGAGTCATAATCACACCTGAAATTCGTCAGTATACAGGGATTGACACTACTAAATTCAATCATTGGCAAAAAAATATATATATCTACAAGTAGTTTCTGGTTGTAGTAAGAAAAACCAGGATGGGGTCAAATGACAATACACATACTAAAAATCCAGGCTAAAATAATTCAGTCACGGACCCGCGATGTCGCGGGTGTGTTCTAGTATATACAATTTCTCCCATAAAAACTGATTTGGCTTGGTTAAATATTACACATTAACGGTTTGGTTAAAAAAAGTATTAAGAAGTGGGTGTTTTCAAATTGACCTTGTTATTTTTCCTTGTTCGGTAATAATGGCCTCGGAGGTTGTAATGGCCATGCGTTACCTTCGTGCCATTACTTGGACATATAACAGGGCCATTATGAAAACACCTATTAATTAATACTACAAACCTTTGTACAAAATTTGAATATCGAAAATTAAAGAGTGCTTACCACCGAATGGACATTTTCCCCTGAAAACATGATGCAATGATTTGTTGAATCTTTTAGTTCAGCTATAAATTGTTTAGTGAACGATAATTATGAAACAAGTATATTCTGACAAAATGTCCGGATACTCAGGCTTTGTTAGTAGATATGAACAAAAATACTAATTTGTCAAATCATTGTGTAATGGAATAAATACTTTAAAAGAATTGTGAAAAATTTGTTTATATTGACTGACAGTAGATATACATCGATTATTTATGATAACTTCTATTACAAATACATTGTGCTGCTCCGAAGCTGCTTTTTGAAGGGGCATTAGCTGTCAAATTCATGTTCACCGATTTGACTGAAATTCTCATATTTGATTTATAACATACTAAAAGAGAGGCGAAAGATACCAGAGGGACATTCAAACTAACAAGTCGAAAACAAACTGACAACGCCATGGCTAAAAAATAAAAAGACCAACAGACAAACAGACAAACAATAAAATTGAGGATGGAAAGGGGGAATGTGTCAAAGAGACAAAAACCCGACCAAAGAGCAGAAAACAGCCCAAGGCCTACCATGGGTCTTCAACACATCGGGAAAAATCACGCACCCGGAGTCGGGCTTCAGCTGGCCCCTAAACAAAAATGTGTACTAGTTCAGTGAAAATGGACGTCACACTAAACTCCGAAACATATAAATGAACTAAAATTAAAAAACATACAGACCGGAGGCTCCTGACTTGGGACAGGCGCAAAAATGCGGCGGGATTAAACATGTTTTGTGAGATCTCAACCCCCCTAATACTTCTAGCCAATGTAGAATAAACAAACACACAGCAATACGCACAGTAAAACTCAGTGAGTCCGAAGTCAGACTAGGTAACAGAAGAAACTAAGCAAAATGACAATGATACATAGATTAACAAAGGACTACTACATGTAGCAGTTGCTGACATGCCAGCTCCAGACCTCAATCAAACTGATTGAAAGATTATGTCTTCACCATATGAAAATCAAGCACAATCCCTCTCGTTAGGGGTTAAGTATAATACCATCATACAATATACAAGAGAACATAACCCGTATCATGCCAACAACTGGTTTTAGAATACATGTGTTTATTTCCGATGCAAAGACCCTATGAGTGAATCAATATTAATTCCAAATTATGCCATCTTTAATGACCTGACAACAGTATTGTAACTATATCTCTTCTGAATAAGTCTGTTTAAAGGTTTGGTTAGCTTTTGAGGTGAATGACGATATTTTTGTGCTTTGTATAGAATATTACCATAAAAGATAGGATGTGAAATAACTGAACGTATAAGATGTCTGCATGTTGATTTATATTTACGAATGTTGTCCTTGTACCGATGATAAAATTTAGTAAATGTTTTGACTAGTTTGTTATATCGAAAAGCTTGGTGTAATATTTTTTCAGTAATACAGAGATTTCTTTCGTTAAAATCAAATGCGTTCTTACATACACGAGCGAATCGAACAAGTTGAGATATATAAACACCATAAGATGGTGACAAGGGAACGTCACCATCTAAAAAGGGATAAATAACAAAAGGAAATGAAAAATCATCTCTTTTATCGTAAATTTTGGTATTAAGCTTCCCGTTGAAGATAAAATATCAAGACCCAGGAAAGGGCAGTGTTCATTGTTAGTATTAGCTTTAATTAAAGTCAGTTCAGCAGGATAAATCTCTTTAGTGAACATTCTGAAGTCGGCATTATTTAAAGCCAATATATCATCCAAATATCTAAAATGTTATTAAATTTTTGTATCAGATGTTGTGTCGATGAGTCTTTGCTGATTTTAGTCATAAATTGTAACTCATAACAATACAGAAACAGGACCGCAATAAGTGGTGCACAGTTAGTCCCCATTGGAATTCCGATAACGTGACGATATACGGAATCTCCATAGCGAACAAAATTGTTTTCTAGTAAAAATTCAAGTGCAATTATCGTATCAAAGTAGGTCCAATTGACATAGTTCTTTTGTTTGTTGTTACTTAAAAATGACATAAATAGTACACAAAACACAACATAGAAAACTCAAGAATTAGCAACACGAACCCCACCAAAAACTAGGGGTAATCTCAGGTGCTCCGGAAGGGTAAGCAGATTCTGCTCCACATGTGGCACCCGTC